ACACACACACACACACACACACACACTGGGGGGTTAGGGGGCCGGCGGCCTGTCTCGTCCATCTTGTCCTGATCATTATAATGAGGGATAAAGCAGAGTACAGTACAGAGGGGGGAGGGGGGGGCTGTTTACTTCTACGGTGGCCCACAGGTTCAAACACGACGTCCCTCACCTCTTCCATCAGGAGGAACACGCTGCAGAAAGGAAGCAGATATAGAAACCCAAATGTTCCTCATGAAGAAACTTCACTCTGTGTTATTTTCTCACGTGTTTCACTTCATTGAAATTCACTCACATCTCGTGTCTCTGAGCGTTAATCCTGTCACTCTGAGCCGCTCTTTCTTCTTCTTCTGGGATTAATTCTCACACACTCTTCTTCTTCTCCTCTTCATTTAGCCGCACACGCTCACTGTTGCTCTCTATTGTTGTTTCTAGTTCCTTCAAAACGACCCAAAGTTTCAACACAACACAAAAACTCTGTGACCAAAAGTACGAGCGCACGACATAAGAGACGAAGCGTCTTAAACTTGATCTCAATGCAGTTTGAAAACAGCAGAATAGAAGCTGCTCAGACAGTCTGAAGACCTGAGGGTGTGTTCGAGGTCTGCAGGACCTTTGAGTGTTTCTGCTGTCAGGATGTGAACCTGCTCTCTGAACTCCCTGACCTCTGACCTCTGCCCTCTGCCCTCTGACCCCACTGCTGTACACAGAGGCCTCTTCAGATTTGTTTGAAGATCATTTTTGTACTTGGATAAAAGTATATATGTATTTTCCCAAAGATTATACAGGTACAAATATTTATATCTTTATTTATAAAACGGACAAGTCAAATCAAGCAATCTGATTGGTTCTTAGCCGTGATATAATGAGCGTATATCACGTGTAGAATTGTAGTTACTTTTCATAACAAGTCAGTATCCCTCCGCGTCTGAGAAAAGCTACAACCGTTACAACTGTTACATTACGTCCGTAATGTAACCGTTTACACAACGGTCCAGACATCAAACGGCAAAACATATTCAGTGTGCAGTTCCTTTGGCATTAGGGCAGGGATATCTAGATACTTCCCAAGGTTTGACATCATGAATTGTGCTACTTTTAAAGCTCACATGTCATGCTTTTCCGGTTATTACCCGTCCCCTTGTGTGTTATGAAGGTTTTTATGCATGTAAACGGTGTGCAGAGTCAAAACCCTCAAAGTACACCCTGTAGCGAGTAAAACTCTAACACAGAAAATACCTCCCCAAAACGCCTCGTTGGAGATACGTCACTGCCCATTTGAGTCTTCCATTTAGTTCCGGGTACGGCATGATGTCATTTTGTAATTGTTTTTGAGAAAAGACCCCCTAAATTATGACTTCTGGTGACGTTAGAGGGGGGGGGGGGAAGGACAATTTGAGGCTTAAAAATATGAGAAGACTGATCAATACCTCCATAATCTTCAGTGTGGTTAGCTATGAATCTTCCAAAACTTCCAAACACCTTGTCCTGGACATAGTTTCTACAGCATAAACTGTGCAACAGTACAGTAGGCCCACACAAACTGCAGAACACCGGGGCTTTGGGACACTCAAAATTACTTAAAATGATTTAAATTCCATTTAACCTGTTAAGGGGCTTTCCCCCCCGTTTTTATTTTCTCACAAAACTGTGTCTCAGGGCTCTTAAAATGTAATAAACTATTCATGTGTCCTACTCAGAGGAAACGCATCTAACTGATGATATGAACCATGTTACCGAAAACAAAACACAAGTCTCACAAGAAGAAACAAGAAATGAGCCCTGAGCGAAAAAATGCTAACGCACTCTAGGTATAAATCAATCGATATACTTATCGGATGTGCACAAACACGCTTAGCTAACAAGCTGAGATTCCACAGATTCTAGAAGTATAAGTATCATCACTGAGGCGATCAGAACTCGCGACAGGGGAAGCAAATACAGACATCACACGACGTAGCTTTAGGTAGCAAAACATGGAGATATGCTCACCTTTTGCAGAATAACAATTCTGATCAAAAACAGAAAAACGCAGCTGAAGGTTAAACCATAGGTTAATCCAATGTGTCTGTCACTTTGAAAAATGATTGATGATCCATAATTCCATTTTTATGTCAAAAACGGAGTTTTCATTAGCTGCTAATGGTAGTCTTCCAGAGTGTATGACAGCTTCCTGTTTGTCTCCTTGGATACGAGTCCAAAACAACTCACAGACTGCACCGGGCGCTCACGTAGGAGCCTGTGACCATCAGATTGGACGACGCTGATTGGCTGAAATTATGTTTCGGCGGCATAGTTTAAAGAATAGCAACAGTTGGCTTCTGCTGCACTTGCTGCCCTCCTCGTCTGGGCGCTGTGCATAGCGCCCAGACGAGAGGAGTAATGATACACGGGCAAGGCCAGGCAGGAAACATGTGACTTATTAGTAACTTTAGACATCGTAACACAATTTTAAACGAGATTTTATTGTAGATTATACATTTTACTGATACCAATTATATCATATTTACCTTGTTTATTAAAAATAAAAATAAAAATAAAAAATATATTTTTTTAAATATATATGTTTTTTATTTTTTTATTGTTAATGTGGGGAAGAGGGGGGTCGGCGCCCCTAGCGCCCCTATGGGGCCGGCCGCCACTGGGCGGGACATCTGTAAGACCAATCACTGACGTCCAGCGCTCCTCTCTAGTCATTATAGAGCTGAACAGCGGTCTGTACTGCTGTCATATCACCTCTGAAATGTCTGAATGGACCAATCAAATGCAGTATTCAGCTAAAGCCATGTAACATGAGACTTATTTTTAACAAGCTTGCTGAATGCAAACATCATGAAACATATATTTTTTATTATCCTGAAGGAAAAATACCTCTCAGATTTATTCATTTATTTATTTCACAATTGTTTACAACATTGGCAAAATGTAGTTTGTTGATCATAAATAAAATAACTAATTTCCAAATATGACAGTATTGACTGGGATCTCCATTTGACCAAAACACCAACTTGTAAAACACATAATAAATAAAGTATAGTATCAGCATGAAGTACGATGACCAGCAGTGCATTGGACTACATTACCCATGAGCCTCAGCTGCTGCAAGATGCAAACTGACAGTTTACATTTCCTCCTTCACGACTCTTATTATTATTATTATTATTATTATTATCTATATTGTTATTATTGTGGCCCCTCCCCCTATAAAAAGCAGCCAATAGGAGCCCTCCTCGCGGCTTCACAACAGAAATCTGATTCAAATCTTCCGCAGCTCGTTATGAGGCTGCAGGTGCGCGCGGGCGGCCGTTAATCCGCTCAATTAGTGCACGGCCCCGCGCGCACGAACAATGCACCGCGGGAGCGCGCAATCCCCGCATCCCCGCGAGAATAAAAGAAAACAATGAGTTTGGTTTCTAGTTTCTCAGATAAGGTTTAAATGAACCATAATATTCTTATTACTTTTATTTAAACTGTCTTTTGAATACACCAGCACACACACCACACACACACACACAGCAACACACCCCACACACACACACCACACACACCACACACACACCACACACACACACACACACCACACACACACACACGCTTTAATAACAGAGTTACACATAACCCACGTGATGTCAAAGAGAGTATTCTAGCTTTCTGTAATTAAAAACAAGTTTATTAATAAATCATAATATTAGTATTATTTGGTTTTTTAAATTTGTCTTTGGGTGAAAAGGAAAGATCTATATTTAAGTTTCAAAGCTTCCCTAATTCATTACAGTAAAAAACAAATGAAATATCTAAATCAGAAACAGCTGGTGCTGAATCATAGAGTCATTCTCATAGAGTTTACACCTGTGATGTAAAGACAGGGTTAGGGTCACCATGATCCATCATGCTGCCTCCCAGACAGGGATCTGCCCTGCAGGTCTACAGAGTCTGGGGGCTGGAAGACTTCCCCTTCTCAATAACATGATCATCTTATGGAGTTTATTACTATCTTTACTGTATAATCATAATCATATTATTGTATGTTATTATAGAGAGTGAGACCTCCTCATTTACATAACAGTAAACAATAGAAGATCTTTTGTTGGACGCATCTTCCACCTGCCTGCTAGCCAACTAACAGTTAATATTAATCACACACACACACACACACACACACACGCACACAACACACAAACACACACACACACACACACACACACACACACACACACACACACACCACACCACACACACACACACCACACACACACACACACACACATGAGGTCATTGAAGCAGTGCCACACATGATGTCATAGAAACGTTATAACTTTATTTGTGTTTAGAAAAAGCTGTAAATAGAATAAAAAATCTCTTTATGTACAAAAGACACATGTCATGAGTCTAAAACAAACAAGCAAATAAATAAAAAACTAAAATAAACTAACGAGAGGAGGGGGGCAAAGTGCAAAGGCACAGATTATAAAGTCTCATTAAGTTGTGTTTCTTAATGTTAAGGCATCAAAGATCGTCTCCTGTTCCAGCAGAGAGTCCGGGGGGGGGGGGGGGGGGGGCTCCGGGGGGGTCCCGTAATGTCTTTATGTCACGCGGAGGTTTTAGTGGAGGTTCAGCTGTGCTGGGACCCCCCCCCCCCCCCCCCCCACAACAGGAAGGGTTATTTCTTCATGTAATTAAATAAAAAACTAAGTTAATGAAACAATATATGTTCCTAAAAAGTGAAATAATATAACTAACATAAATAATTCAAATATTAAACTAACAGTATTTAACACAAAATGCTGTTAAAAAAACAATCATTTCTGGGGTTTGTCTGTATGATCATCACACTGACCCCTCCAGTCCGCTGGTCTCAGGTCAGTTAGTCTCTATAGAGAACAGCTTTCTACCAGTCTCTGTTTCAGTAACTAGTGGCACTTTAGACTGAGCCTTAGTGACGTCAGGAGCTGCACTAGTTGCCCTGTGACGTCAGGAGCTGCACTAGTTACCTAGAAAGTCCCAACTAGTGCCCCTTAAAGGTGAAAGTGAACAGGTGAGCTGCGGAGAGTCCTGTATCTCCTTCAGTAAACAGGAGGCACGAAGGCGCGGAGGAACATGGCGTCTTGCGGCTGGAAGTAGTTCTCCGGACTGCCGGGGCTTGAGGCGCATACACCGGGGATGAAGAGGAGGAGGAAGAGGAGGATGAAGATGAGGAAGAGGAGCAGCTCACACGCCTCGCTGCTGCTGCCGGGGTTGATGGGAGCCTCCGCCCGGTGGAAGGATCTCTCCGCCTCCAGGTCTGCGTTGCGGAGGGTTTCCGACAGAGCCCAGATGTAGTTGTGCGCGAACCGCAGCGTCTCGATCTTGGTCATCTTGGTTCTCCTCCGGGCACGCGGGCAGCACCTCGCGCAGAATCTCGAGTGCGTCGTTCAGGCTGTGCATGCGGTTGCGCTCCGCGGTCGTTGGCCTTCACGCGCCGGTTCCTCTTCACTGGGGGTCCGCCGTCCGCGCGCCCCCTTCGCTTCTTCATCACGGGGGAGGTAGCGCACGGGCTGCGGGAGTTCTCATCGTCGCTGCGCGCGGGAGAACCCGGCTGCTGGTGTCGGTGTCTGAGAGCGCGAGGGTCCATGTTGTCTGAGAGCGCGAGGTCCATGTTGTCTGATGAAGAGATGAAGGAGCAGGTGAGAGAGGCACGCGCTGCGGAGAGACAGAGAGAGACAGAGACACGCGCCTGTGCTTCAGGTGTTCGGATGAGCTCGTGCGAGCCGGTGAGTCTGGCACACGACCGGCGCGAGGCAACTTATATACTGACCGGACACCCCCCCCCCCCCCTCCTCTGAATCCCCCCCCCCCCGCGGCAGGTCTGCCCCGTGCCGCCTGGAGCTATTCATTAACATAACCCCCCCCGCCGCGCGCACAGAAGCGTGCCGGTGATCAGCGCGAGCCAATCAGAGGGCGAGGCTGGCCACGCGAACACCAAGCAGGACACACACACACACACACCACAAACACACAACACACACACACACCATCCACACACACACACACACACACACACAACACACCACACACACACTAACACACACCTCCCTGTAAGGCAGAAACTTTGCGGAGTTGAAGCCAAAAACATAAAAAAAGAGAATAAAGAAAGAAGAGCCCCCCCCCTGCTGGGTGGAGACACGCTCCGGAGGATCCTCACACACACACACACACACACACACCACACACACACACACACACACACACACACACACACACACACACACACACTCACACACACTTCAGTAACAAGACAGTTTTAAAACTTTTCTTAACTTTAAGTTTTATTTCTGGAGAACCTTTCAGAATAAAAGTTGCAAAGAGTTTTTCAGAATAAAGCATGGATGTGCTCTTTTCATTCCGAGACCAGAGAGGTGTTATTCACAGAGTGTACTAAAACACCTCCCGTCTGAGTTTCAGATTGTAGTGAACGTTGCTCATCAGAAACCTAACCCTCACATCAGCAGCGAGTGAGAGGCGGTTGATCCCTCAATACAAAGCTCATTCAATAAAGTTTGATTCAATAAAACAGATTATTAAAGTAAAAGCTATAACTTTACCAGAGCTTTATTTAAATGAACATTTAAGGCCCTAAAATACATTAATGGAAGGATTCATTTTAAAAATGTTTATGTTAATATTTAGTAAATAACTGTTTATTATTTATTCCTGTTAACATCTCATTATAATAAGAGGAGAGGAGTGTGTGTGTGTGTGTGTGTGTGTGTGTGTGTGTGTGTGTGTGTGTTTGTGTGTGTGTGTTTGTGTGTGTGTGTGTGTGTGTGTGTGTGTGTGTGTGGTGTGAGAGAGAGTGGGTGGAAGTGGAAGTGTGTGTCGGTGGTTAAATACAAGCTGTTTCCCTTTGAAGTGACTGTAAACTGCAAACCTCTACCTTCTTCTCCTCCCACGCACACACACACACACACCACACACACACACACACACACACACACACACACACACACACACACACACACACAACACACACACACAAAGTTAGTATTTAAAGTTTCCTGAAAGTGTATTCGTTCACATTTGTTTATGTTGTTGTTGTTGTTGTTGTTGTTGTTGTGTAAACACATGCATCTGTAGATCTTTAATCCCTTAAAGAAGGTTTAATGTTTGTTTATGAGAGCAGACAGAAGAGGCGTTCAGGGTCAGTGGGGGAAAAGTAGCTCTGACAGTTTAACAAGACAGACTTGGCTCTTAAAAGTGCCTTTGGGTTGTTTGGAGTTTGGAAAAACAAAGGGTTGTTTTTTGGAGAACAAATTGCAGGATCTGTTGAGAGAAAACAACATAATTTAGAAACTCAAAAATAAACAAACAATGCCAGTGTAATTGTTGTTGTTTACAACTGTTCTACTTGGCTAATAACCAATTAATGCTTACTACTGTTGTCATTAAGGTATTTTCACACCATCGCACAGCAAAATCACTGCCACCAGTCATTTAAATAAGTAATTTGTACAAAAATTATAAAAGTATTATTACTATTAATACTAAAAACACATGTATACAAAGTATTATTAATAGATTTACGATTCGAAAATTATAAAAGCAGAGTAGACATGTGGAGATTATCCGGCTGAAACAAAACGTGATCCGTCTCTTAAATGTGTGTCAACCACAGACCTTATTTCGAGCTATTTTCCAAAATCCTATGGAGAAATTGCAGTGCGTTTTCTAGCTAGCTAGCTAGCTAGCAAGCTAGCTCAGGCGAGTTCATTTGTTATATTTAGGTAATACCCTATATTATTTAGTTACTATACCCCTCAGAAAGGTGCCAGAAACAACATTGGGCGCCGATTAGATTATTATTATTATTATTCGTGGCTAAGTTTATCGTATTTCCTATAACTATGTGTTACCCATGCTCTTACTGTACCTTGATTCTGAAGAACTGCGACTCTCTCATCCAGGTTTGGTCACGTAAAGTGCAAAGGTATGCCGTCTTTACGACGGGTACCTGAGGATTGTGGGTAATGTAATCGCAAAGCGGACAGAAGTCATCACAACAATAGCTGGGGATTGTGGGTAGTGTAGTCTCTTTGGCGCTCCACATTTCAGAGAAAACAAGTTGTCTCAGAATTGAAGGGGAAAAAACACAAAAGCATTGTACACACACTAAAACCTATCAATGTCGTTAATTAACAAAGGTAATCTGGTTGTTTTTGAGTTGATGAGTAGTGGAGATATCACTGTCAAATCAATCGACAGTAAGGGGAATACTTACTTCCGGGTGTACAATTCTTCGTTATCCAATGGGAATGGACGCTCACATTGCCTTTAACAGCCTCCGACACAAACGAATGCGGTGCTTCCCTGAGCGTCAAATACCGCCGCCGATGGGAATACATTGCAATCAGTTGAAAGCTCTTTGCGTCCGTTTATGAAGCTGAAGGAGCCTCGGCGCGTCACAACTGGACGCCACGGGACCCTGACCAAGCGTCGCTCCTGGACGCTTAGGAGTGAGAGTGTGTTGCTGAAACAGGTTCATAGTGAAGCGTCAGCAGCTCACTCAGGTTTGATGGAAACCTTTTACCCAAAAAAACACTTTTTAGCTCAAACTCTTTTGGGTTTAGGATTTATTCAGCGAGGGGTTCTCTGAACTTTTTCATTCAGCGAGGGGTTCTCTGAACTTTTTCATTCAGCGAGGGGTTCTCTGTACTTTTTCATTCAGCGAGGGGTTCTCTGTACTTTTTCATTCAGCGAGGGGTTCTCTGTACTTTTCATTCAGCGAGGGTTCTCTGAACTTTTTCATTCAGCGAGGGGTTCTCTGTACTTTTTCATTCAGCGAGGGGTTCTCTGTACTTTTCATTCAGCGAGGGGTTTCTCTCTGTACTTTTTCATTCAGTGAGGGGTTCTTCTCTGTACTTTTTCATTCAGCGAGGGGTTCTCTCTGTACTTTTTCATTCAGTGAGGGGTTCTCTCTGTACTTTTTCATTCAGTGAGGGGTTCTCTCTGTACTTTTTCATTCAGTGAGGGGTTCTCTCTGTACTTTTTCATTCAGTGAGGGGTTCTCTCTGTACTTTTTCATTCAGTGAGGGGTTCTCTGTACTTTTTCATTCAGTGAGGGGTTCTCTCTGTACTTTTTCATTCAGTGAGGGGTTCTCTCTGTACTTTTCATTCAGTGAGGGGTTCTCTGTACTTTTTCATTCAGTGAGGGGTTCTCTCTGTACTTTTTCATTCAGTGAGGGGTTCTCTGTACTTTTTCATTCAGTGAGGGGTTCTCTGTACTTTTTCATTCAGTGAGGGGTTCTCTCTGTACTTTTTCATTCAGCGAGGGGTTCTCTGTACTTTTTCATTCAGCGAGGGGTTCTCTGTGTACTTTTTTCATTCAGTGAGGGGTTCTCTGTACTTTTTCATTCAGTGAGGGGTTCTCTCTGTACTTTTTCATTCAGTGAGGGGTTCTCTGTACTTTTTCATTCAGTGAGGGGTTCTCTCTGTACTTTTTCATTCAGTGAGGGGTTCTCTGTACTTTTTCATTCAGTGAGGGGTTCTCTCTGTACTTTTTCATTCAGTGAGGGTTCTCTGTACTTTTTTCATTCAGTGAGGGGTTCTCTCTGTACTTTTTCATTCAGCGAGTGGTTCTCTGTACTTTTTCATTCAGCGAGGGGTTTCTCTGTACTTTTCATTCAGCGATGGGTTCTCTGTACTTTTTCATTCAGGCGAGTGGTTCTCTGTACTTTTTCATTCAGCGAGGGGGTTCTCTGTGTACTTTTTTCATTCAGCGATGGGGTTTCTCTCTGTACTTTTTCATTCAGCGAGGGGTTCTCTGTGTACTTTTTCATTCAGCGAGGGGTTCTCTGTGTACTTTTTCATTCAGTGAGGGGTTCTCTGTGTACTTTTTTTGTTCAGCGAGGGGTTCTCTCTGTACTTTTTCATTCAGCGAGGGGTTCTCTGTACTTTTTCATTCAGCGAGGGTTTCTCTGTACTTTTTCATTCAGCGAGGGGTTCTCTGTACTTTTTTTTGTTCAGTGAGGGGTTCTCTGTACTTTTTTTGTTCAGTGAGGGGTTCTCTGTACTTTTTTTGTTCAGTGAGGGGTTCTCTGTGTACTTTTTTCTGACTCGAGTTTTTTTCATTAAAGTGTGAAAATGTATAAAATCTAATTTCTTTCATTTTCATGCTTCCCTTTTCCTCAGTTCCAGCCTCTTCTGAAAGCACGACCAGAAACTACACTCTGCAGAAACTAATCTCTCTCTGTTCCTTCAAAATAAAATCTGTTCAAACTATTTTTTTATTCCACCTCATTCGTTTCCTTCCTTTCCCTATCTTTCTGAAAGTGTGCTCACTCTGCAGCAAACCAGTTTCCTCCTAACAAGTCTGAGTTTAGGGGAAGTTAATCAGCGCTGTCTGTTCCTTCAAAGTAAAATGTGTTAAAACTCATTTGTTTAACTTGTGAAAATCTCCTAATTTCCTTCAGTTCCAGTTCTTCTCAAAGCACGACCAGAAACTAACAAACGTTGCAATCTTTTTTTCGGTTCCTTCAAAATAAAATCTGTTAAAACTACACTTCTCTCTTTTCACTTCCACTTGTCCTCCCTCCCTGTTTCCTCTCCCTGTTTCCTCTCCCTGTTTCCTCTCCCTGTTTCCTCTCCCTGGTTTTGCACAGA